CGGACGATACGCTAAACCAACGCTGCATGCTGGTTTCCTCAGAGCATCTGGGTAGTTATGCATGCAGAGCTGATACTGCATTCGAGCTCATCAGAAGCTGCAATTAAATAAAATCTCTTCAAAACAGAAAATATATGGCATGAATCAATGGATTTCTCAGATACAGAGAAGTGATTTGGGCATGGTAAACACTTTTGCTGCATGACTCCAGGGTCCTCAGAGGCATTTTATGTCACTTCGTCTCAATTAACCTCCCAAGAAAGCAATTCAGATCTGAGCAAGAGAGAGGGGAAAAAAGACATTACTGACAACACACAAAAGCCTACTCTGATGTCATAATGCTGTATTACTTGAGTCACAGGCAGATTTCCTGGAATTCAGTTTTGAAGCCAAAAAGCAGACGATAAACAGTATAGAAAGAAGAAGAGCTACCTAATGCAAATCAGAGAAGTTATTTCAGATTCTGAATAAGTTATTACTGCTGAAAGTTTGCACCCTGCACCTTAACATATCATTCAGCTTTGAAACGATCCCCCTCTCAACTTTGCACATTCTGCAAATTAGGAATACAGCAGTTCTAACTCTCTCACAGTAGCTCCTGGGCCATGTTAAATCTGTTGGCTGTCACAGCCCCAAGTTCTCCTATTAGACACACAGTTAATTGAGCCCTGTAACACAAACCACAGATGTATCGGTGAGGTGTAAAGCTTGTTGCCTTGCTACGCACCCCGTAACTGTGTGGGCAAGGACTACATGCTTTCCAGGACTACCTGCGCTGTGCCTGTTGTCCGAATTCTGTTGAAAAAGAGTAAACGACTGTTGCAGTGAATGATATTATTCTATCATGCCTGTAATGAAGACAGGTCTGTTTTCAATCAGGGCAGCTATAAACCTCCTCTGCAGTGTATTCTATCACCGTTTGTCGCCCAGGGGCACAGGGAAGATAGCACTGCACCAAACAGCCGGGAAGAAGGATGGCATTCCGTGCTCCATCACTCATGTTAACACGCTCTCTGGACATCAGACATTTTTGATTGCTCTGGTCAGCGTTATGACTGTGGGCTATAACACAACTTTGTCCCATGAGATAACCTGCAGTCAATTCCCCATTATTAATAAATGGCACCCTGGTTTTGTTATGCAACATATAAGATTTACAAGATTAACAATTGGTATATATATGAAAAAATAATGGCGGGGGGGGGGGA